ACTTTATTTTAGCTTGTATGTCCTTGTTTACCTAATCATCAATCATATAACTATAACACTATGAAATGAAATACCTAAATAATTTATCATCTATTGGTTTTAATATTAGTAGAACTATGCTTTATAAAATATATATATTTAGCATAATATTTAGCATAATAAAAATAAACAATACTTAGGTATCATGTAGCAATTGTTACGGAGGAGGGCCCCGGTCCAAACTATTTTGACATAGACTTGGTCAGTCCAGGCTGCTCCCTCTATGATTTAAATTTGTGTTTTCTTGATGTTAAGACAGATAAAAGCAAAACTCTGACGTGAATTAATTCAGATAACATATCCTTGTCTTCAGATGAGAGTGTAGTATATATTTTTTTAATTGAAAATATAAACAGTTCGTCTGTAGTTCTCACTTGCTCGATCACTTACTGTCGACCATCTTTTTTTTTGTTTCTTTAAGTATAGTCCAGTTCTCCTACTGCAAATTAATTGTCTTAAATCGATTGTCTCAACTCGGCTCAGTGGCGCAGCTAGGGTCGGTGTCAACCGGTGCGGTAAAATTATGGTGTCACCCCCTCCCACGACTTCCAAGATGGATTTGTTTTTGTTAAAATAAGTTCACAGTATAACAATGACAAGAACAAAATCAAAATAATTTGAATGTCAGGAGGTAATTGAATTTAAGAACTGTATTTCAAAATGTATAGGAGCCAGAATGATCAATACGTTGATGGTGGGCCCTCAAATTACGGAAGAAGAAGAAGTAACAACGTTAAGTAATAATTATTTTTACATTAAATTTACTTTATTAAAAAATGTCCTTTCCTGGTCTTCAACGTTGCAACTCTGCCAACGACTTGCTAAAATTCAACATCCTTCACCGTATCACTTTCAACTGATTGAATAGCTAGATCAGAAGACGTTGACAATCCCATGGTGCATCGTAAATAGTTCTTGATAAGTCTTAGTTTTGAAAAAAAACTTCGCGCACATGAAAACACCAGGCACACAGATCGTAAGAAAATTGGAGGCTTAGCGAGAATATTGGAAGAGATTCTAGGAAGTCCCATTCAGCTACGAATTTCAAAATATCAAATACTGAACAATCCTTGAATTTATGAAAATCAATACCAGCTGCCTTTATTGTCTGCTAAGCGAATGTTTTATCTTTTAAACGTTCATCCTGTGATAACTCATCATAGAAAGAGGTCAATTTTGGAACGGACACCAATAACTCTCTTTCACTTCAGAAAGAAGATTCTTGAGTTGAACAGCCCCAAACATATCTGCTGCTTCCTTGATCACTGATGATTTGATCTGGAGTTCAGAATGAAAGCGAGCAATGCACACCCGCATCCCCATTCTCTTTTCTTCTTGCTGACAGAGTCCAGCATCTATTATTTGTCTTAAACCATTATGTTCTCTAAACCGAAATTCAATATGGGTCTGATTTTAAATAAATTTTCCATAGCGTGTTCCAAAAAGTGAAAGCACTTCTTATGCTGAAACAATCTTAAAACTTCTAGGTTGGTCACCACTTTGTCAAGAGAAAAGCTTTTAGTCTACAGATTCTTCTGTGTAAGATTAACTTCCTCAAGTAGATCATTCCAAAGGTAAAACTAGCAGATAAACATGAAATCACAGACAGCATGTAAAAGACTTTGTGCTGTATAACAATCGTGATCTAATGTTAATTTGCGGTGTTATTAACGAATCGGTGGATATATTTATTTTTGAGTATTTCTGGGTTTCGATATGTTTGGTTTCAAACACAATAAAACAAAAAAACAAAAAAAAATTAATTATTAATTTTTTTTAGAAAATCTTGTAAAATTATTATTTTGATGAGCATATAAATGAGTAAAAATCATTTTTAATGTTTTTATTTTTTATTGATTCAATTCATTAACTTAGAACCACCCGACCCTATCATATTTGGATTCAGCGGAAAGCTTTATTTCTCAGAATTTAGATACATATTGCTTTCTGTCATTTATAAAAGTTGCCAAACACTTCAATCGGCGTTGAATAATGGTATCGGTTATCCTTTTATGAAATTCCGTTAGACCAAGAGGTGTGTGCTCTGTAAATATGCATTTTTAAATTTGGTGTCACCCCCTGGGATGGCGTCACACATTGTGGTCCGAAACCCCTGGCTACGTCACTGTTTAACCCTATGAATGGATAAAAATTTATTTTAAACGGTGTTTTTCTGTCCGAATTATATGGGCATCTCATTTCTGACGCATCAACATATAACTTTTGATAAAGCACGCTTTAGGATTGGTTACATATGTGGACAATTTATGTGTAAATGGTTATCCATTATTGAAATTCGGTAAGACTGAGCTGTGTGTGCTCTATAAATATGCAATTTTTCAAATGGGTGTCGCCCCCTGAGAGTGTTGACACCCGGTGCGGTCGGCAGCCTACGCACCCCCCTAGCTACGCCACTGAGACTTGGCTAAACTCTTTACGACTGCATGGTTTCACTCGGTCGACTCGTATCCTCTCAACTTGGCAAGCGCGCGAATATCATAATATTTTTTTAAAAAAATAATCATAATTGAAAAAAAAATTCCTCTATCCCGAGATGCAACAATCTATGAACTTTGACCTCCTGGCCGATCATATCCCAAAATAACAGCGATTTCCGGCTGACCTATTAGTTATCAGTACAACAATGGAGTACTTTCCTACACACCACGCCAGTCATAGGGGATGTTAGGGCACCACGAGAAAGAGAGCCCCCACAAATAGAGCTGTTGTAAGCGCCGATGATCAACTGAAAACAATAAAAAGCAGTTACCGAAATAAATATAATAATGCGAAATTGATTTTTAAAAAAAAATCTTTGAGAAGGACAATGTTTTGTTCTAATCCTTGCCATGAAAAAAATAAAGGAGAAAACCAGTTTTAAATAAATAATGTAACAAATTGAAAAATTATTTTTAATCTTCAAAGAAATTTCTTTTTATCTTATTAGTTGTTATTTATCCAGCCCTATATATATTCAAGATCAGGTATTTAACTGCATATCAATCGGATAAGAATGTGATCACTTACACTGTATTGCCGAGGTTGGAGAATTATTTAATATAAAGATATTGATTTAGCGTATGGGCTATATAGATATAAGCATGAGCTATACTGACGTAACTCCAAAGAGCAGGAAAGATTTAAGTACGTTTTAATATAAAATAGTTCAATATCATATATAGAATTTTTGGTGTAAATTTAAGGTAAGTTTTTTTTAACAATTTTTAGAGGAAAAAAGTTGTAATTCAAGGACATGAAAATGGGTCAATCTAAAGTATTTCTCTAACGCAGTGATTGTCACTCAATTAACGTCTTTAGTGACAAAAGTGATATAATTAGTGAAAATGTAGAATGTGTAATTTAAGGTCACGTTGAGGTGGGGGAAAAGTAGTTTAGGAGCGTGAAAAGGAGTAGGGTAGGTCTATAATATATAGCAGATAATTATTTCTCAAAACTTAATGATGTTAGAAACGTAAATATCATTTTTTTGCAATAGCAGTTAGAAATTATCGCAAAGGATCTACCATTATAATCCCGATAACATCGGGTCATTTATTCTAGTTAATTAATTATTTACATAACATTTATTTCGTTTCCAATAAAAATACTTGTTTATTTAACAATATCAATGACAGAATTTTTGTTCAAGTTCTTATAACAATAACTTTACATTGTATCAAAATATTAACCTTCAATGGTTTTCTTTCTTCTTTTTTCACTTTAGTGGTAATCAAAGCATCAACATGACGACCGTAAACACTGATATCGCTCTCGAGGTGATGACATCGATTAAAAAACTCCATTCGCGACATGAACTTGAAGAAGATTTTGTCATTGAAATAGAAAATACGGAGATCAAGTGTCATCGCTTCATTCTTGCCGCATGCTCTGGGTTTTTCAGTGGACTTTTCCGGGCAAGTATGAACGAAGTGACGAATGGCCGTGCCTTTTTGCAGGGTATATCTTGTGACACTTTAAAACTTATCTTAGAGGCCCTGTACACTGGTAATGATATCATAACTGAAGATAATGTCATTGCCATCTGGCTTGCCTCAAATCAGTTACAGATTTACTTCATGATTGAATTATGTGAAAAGATGATAGTTAAGATGTTGTCATTTGACAATTTTGAAGACATCTGCAGAAACGCTAAATTCATTAATTCTAAAAATCTTCTAGGATCCGTTACAAATTTCGCGAAGAACAATTTTGTTCAGGTAAGAAGGATGAAAACATTTCATGAACTTCCTTACGGACAATTTCTTAATATTGTACGTGATCAAAAACTTGTTGCAGAATGTGAAGACCAAGTCTTAGAATCAATTATGGAATGGATAGAATACCCTGACATTGAACAGTTAGAAGATGAACATCAAAATGACAAAAGGAAATATACTGAAGACATTCGAGAAACGAGTCAAGTTATTGCTAAGAGCGGGGTTGAAAAAAACCCATTCGCCAACAGTACGTTAAATATTATGTCTGATTTCACCTTTGACCAATGTAACAATGATATGGATGCCAAAGGTTTAGGTAGTGACAATAAGCTTGATGACAAATGTGTTTGTCCTGAGCAACCATTTCAAGGCGAAGACCACTCTACAGATGCCACTAAAAAGGAAGTATCCCCAGGACAAACTCACAGTAAAACCGACAGCACAGCTGCTCGAGTGTTGGATCAAACTGAGAAAAGTGACCCACTTCAACAGAATAAAAATACGAAGCACAAGGTAGCTGGAGAGCGACACGCTTACCTGGTGCCACTTTTAAACGCTGCGCGAACCTGTCTAGCCAGCGTGTCCTTTCTAGAACGTCTCGTCAATCATCGTTTGATTAAGGCGAATCGCAACGCCAGAAATATCATTTTTGATGCAGTCATTTATCATACTGAGAAATATAGAAATGGGACATGGTCAAAAGCTGCCTTTCACCGAGATTGTAGTGAATTCGGCAACTTTGGAGTTTTCTGTTCGTGTAACGGAATATTAGAAGCTTACTCAATAACGGAAGACTCGTTTTTAAGCATGACAAGTTGTCCAGCCGGTATTCATGTCGTTCACTTGGTCGTTTTCGACAATGAATTGTATGCATGCGGAATTACTTCTAGAAACGACCCCAAGAGCACGTTGTTTCTTTTGAGAGGAAATCTTTGGACTCAAATTATTGAAATCACGGGAAATCGGTTATTTCTTCTCTCTTATGAGAATTCAATTTTAGTCTTGAATATTGAAAGAAAAATGATTTCATCATTGAAACCTAAGGAAATGTATAAGCTTCAAGATAACTTAGCGACTCTTCCTGAACATGGAACGTTTGAACATGCCCTGATATATGACAGTAAATTGCTTGTGTTTTATGCAGAGACTGTGGAAGATATTGAAGGAACATCCGTTCATTGTTTGGATTTGATGAATACGGTTTGGACAAGGCTTGACCATCTTGACGGGCCAGCCAAATATTTGATCAGTTTTCAAGATGGTAAGAGCTACTACATTATACAAAGAAATGGGAACGTGTGGAGATTGGCAAATACCAAAGTTAAACTTGTGTCATTTAAGTTTATTGGAAAACTGTGGACATCCGATAGAGTTTTATATGGCGCCGTGCATTGCAAGGATCAGCTAATGTTATTTGGAGATAGGCCTGAAAACTATCTTGAAGATCCAGAAATTGATGTGCCCGACTTTCCTTATTCTTTAATTCATAGGGGTGAAGGTGGCCATTGCTCTAATTTCCTGCCTGTCATATTAGCCAAAAGCTTTCTCTCCCCAACAAATGTATTAAGTGATGATAATGCTGATGAAATTGATTTTGAAAATGATAATGCTGATGAAATTGATTTTGACAATGATAATGCTGATGAAATTGATTTTGACAATGATAATGCTGATGAAATTGATTTTGACAATGATAATGCTGATGATTATGCTAATGATAGCGATGATGATAATGATAATGCTGATTATGATGATAATAATGATGATGATAATTATTATAATACTGATAATAATGATGATTTAATACATTAATAGCCCTTGTATGCATTCTAATTTAGCAGGCTCACATCGCTTTGATGTCCTAAAATATTTTTTAAGAAATAAGTTTGTAAATGTTTTCTTTTTTTCCATTTTTATTTCCCTCAAAGATTGGGGCAACTTGTCCATAATTTAGGCGTTATAGCCTCAAAAGAGCGCACTCCGTATGAATTCTTTCTATGTCCATCCACTGTGGGAACAGTAAGTAAGGATTGTGTTGAAGACCGCACTTGTTCTGTAAGGATTGTGTTGGAGAGCACTTGTTCTGTAAGGATACGTTTTTAGAAATTAGTTTTGGAAGATACAAAGGTACTGAGACTTCTATACAGCTGTTCGCCAGGGACAGAGCCTTCTATACAGCTGTTCGCCAGGGACAGAGACTTCTATACAGCTGTGCGCCAGGGACAGAGCCTTCTATACAGCTGTGCGCCAGGGACAGAGCCTTCTATACAGCTGTGTGCCAGGGACAGAGCCTTCTATACAGCTGTGCGCCAGGGACAGAGACTTCTATACAGCTGTGCGCCAGGGACAGAGACTTCTATACAGCTGTGCGCCAGGGACAGAGCCTTCTATACAGCTGTTCGCCAGGGACAGAGACTTCTATACAGCTGTGCGCCAGGGACAGGGTTTGCTGGGCAATGCGTTCACTCACAGGAAGCCAGTGGAAATCATTAAGAACTGGATTGATGTGGTCAGATTTCTTTATTTACGAAACAATGCGTGCTGCAGTATTTTGAACCTTCTCGGGTCTCTGAATTTGATTTTGAGCTAAACCCCACAAAATACATTACTGTTACTGTAACCTAATCTTGATTGGAATATAGTGACTGCTAAGTCATTGGCTGTTCTATTATTAAGTTGAGGACGCAGTTGACCCAGGACGCGTAGATGACAGAAATAAGCCCTGACCACAGAACTGATATGAGTCATCATTGTAAGTTTACCGTCAGGTTAGAAGCCAAGGTCTCTAACAGTGGGTGGACCAGTGGATCTCTGAAGCACCAACTTTGATCAATGTGATAGCAGCCTTCCGAAGATTGGCATCAGGAACCACATGTACTTGCCTCTGTCTAATCGTCATTTAATTTAATTCCGATTGTTGTCATCCATGATTTCGCCACCAAACAGAAGTCCTCGACAGTCTGAACAGTAGCAGCACAGTCAAATGGATCAAGCCGCAAACACTTGTACATTTCTGTGTCATCCGCGTACAATTAGCGGGAAATCCCATGACTTTCAATAATTCTTCCCAGCTGGCTAATTTACATGACGAACACGATATATCCTAAGACTGAGTCCTGTAGCACGCCGCAGGTAGCGGAAGTGCCCCCATGGAAGATGCTTGATTCACTGCAATGCTCTCAGTCCTGTCAGTCAGATCAGAAGTAAACCAGCTGTAGTGCAGTTCCACAGATGCCCGCCTCATTCAGGAAGTCTTTGAAAAAAGAAGCTCATGGTCCATCACATCAAAAGCAGCACCGATATCCAACAAAACCAAAGGTGTCAGTGGTGAGCACTACACAGAAATCCAGAACGAAATCGTGACAATTTCTGGATCCGATTTCATAAATTAACAAGTAGTATATTGTTTTTTACTTTCATAAATTAAATAATTTACATTTGTATGTTTTTTAATGTCTTTTGTGTGTTTTTATGGAATTTTAATGTATTTTAAAAGTATTTTGTATGTATATTTTATGTATTTTTAAAGTATTTCAATGTAGTTTTTATGCTTTTATAAAGTATTTTTAGAACTGACAACAAATGTTACAATGGCAAGTACTATCTAAATATTGGATTGTATCTTTGTATATTCATTGCATAACGTTACACATACTCAGTTTTTAATTTATAAAAAAATAATCTTTCTGAGATTAACAAAATAATATAATATATGTTTTAAAAACATTCAGCAATAATGTAGAATTTGTTTTTTTCCCAAACAAAAAAAAAATCATAAAGTGAAATCAAAATATGTTAAAACCTTACAAAACCTTACAAAACCTACAAATAGATTAATAATGCATCGATTGGAGTAAAGATTACAGTGACAAACGAATCTAAAAAAAAAAAAAAGAAAAAAAGAAAGCATTTTGCGAATAACCTAATAACTAAAGAGTTAGGCAGAAATGTTTGCTACCTGTCATGGTTATATTGTTAGAACGTTTAAATAAGTCAGAGTCTGAATTGTTTGTTCTCATTTTCAAATATCCTTTTATTACCAATTTCTATTAATAGATGTGTGTGTGTGCAAGGGATCCAATTTTAGGAGTTCGCCCCCCAGTGACATCATTTCCCCTAATTCATTGAAACGGATGTGTTATTTCGTTGACATCTTGTGATGATTTCAGTTTAAGGAGATGAAGATTTGAACCTAACCTCAATACTGTTATCTTTTCTCTCAATTTTAAAGAGAATGTTTCTTTTAAACTTTATTGTTAATGGAAACTTGCGGTTAATTTACACACCTATATTAACTTCTGACTCTTCACCACTATTATGACCTTTAGAAGCTTGTAGTTTGTTAAAAGACAATTGTGTAAAATACGTAATTTTTTTTCAGTTTAAACTTTGGATGTCTTTTGTTATCAAATCTATACAACTGACTCGTGCTTCTCATACCTCAAAAGCTTGTGGTACTTGAAAGAACTTTTACAACCCACTGCTGTGTTCATGGCCAAATTTTATATTTTCATTAATCTATTAATCTCAAGAAAAAGGCAACGACTTGAAGGCCATCGCCTGGGAAGTGTTCCATTAGAGAGGTATACATATTGTAGAGAAAAAAAAATCCAGCTTCATGCTAGTGTATGTTATCATATGTTTCACTGACAATGCTATGCCGAAGCGTGTTCTTCATATTATTAAAACATGTTTTGTATAAAGTTATAATTATATGCGATTTTTATAAGCGGTCTTCTTCTTCTTCTATATCTTAAGGGCCCGCGATCAATTTATTGATCATTTTGGCCCCTATGCATGTAGATGGGATTTGCAATGTGTCTGTTACTGGTGTTGATGAGGAAATCATGCACTAGGGGTTTGAAGGCTTGAGGCAATAGACACAGATGTGTCTAGTGTTGTCGCCTCAACCGTTCCTTTTGAAAGATTAGGTCTGTTTACTTGCATCAAATTGAGGGCCAACTACTTGAATCAATTTGTGACTTAACAACACTAACATTACTTGAGGATTAACTACTTACATAAAGCGTTCGTTTATCTCGGCTTTTGACAGTTACCCGTTTAGTCGCGACACGCAAAGCCCTCTAGCTTAAAGTCTTGAGAAGTTGCGACTTGGACTATGCATAATTAACCGCAGACATCTATGAAAAAACACACAAATATATATGAGCTTATCTGGGATTCATTTGGAATTTCGACATTTAAATATTAATTGCACAGAAAACTTATAAATGATTGCATCTTGATGCATCTTGACACCTTCTCTTGTGGACCATTTCCAGGGTTTTTATTATTTTAAAAAAAAATTCTTTGCGCAATTTTCTCAACACATTTATCGTAACAGATCTAATTGATTTAGATGTAGAAAATAATTTATTTTTTTCCCCACTCGTTAAAGATCTTTTTATGTTCCATATTCGTTATTTTGAAGGAGACAGAAGCCATAGTCAATTACAAAAACATTTTGAATTTCTTTTACATTTTCGCTGAACTTCCCGAGATCACGCAGATGGGAATGCTGCCAACCAGACCAAAAGAAAATTGTTGATATTGAAAACTGTTGCATGAATGTATTCCTTATTTTGTTATTATAATAGTTTTATATATGCAGTTCGTTTTCTTAGGCTAAACAATAAAGGTCGTCAATGTTTGATAGAATATCAGAAGCTTGACGTTGTTGACCTATATTTAGATTAAGAGAGGTTACATTAAAGGTTAATTCTTATGGCATGTAAATGCAACACCACTAAAAAAGGGGAGGGGGGGCTAAGAAAACAAGAAAAATGTGACAAGATAGATTTTTTTTTTTGGGGGGGGAGTTATTGATACCAAGCATTCAAGGTGTTTCATATGAGCTGAAGAAAAGGGGGGGGGGGGGATAAAAAAAAATTGAAATTTACAATTGTAGACACTGTCTAAGAGAGACTTACATAAAATGTTGCATAGGTCACACAATAGTACATTAATACAGTTGTGCGAATTAATATTGATGATACCCTTAAATGCACTCATGGCATGACTTGTAAAATGTGTTATATTTATATTATTAAATTCATTATCCCACTCACTGTGTGAATGTGAAAATAATTTCTGTGACAAGGTCTTCGGGATTTTAAACATTACCTGTGATAATCATTGATATAGGAGATTTTTTTGATCATCAATTTTAACAAGTTATAAATTATTATTTTTTTTTAACATGGACGAAAGATACAAACATTTTCAACCTACAGGCGTATAACAAATAAATCACTTATCAAAAATTAAAAAAATTAGATGAACTAAAATCTCATGAATTTTTTTTCATATTTTACAAAAATTGCAAAAAATTAGACTGTCTGAATATTTTCAATATCTATTTTTGTAAATGAAAATTATAGTATCTAACTAGGTTGTTTTTGTTCTGTTAATTATATTTT